TCTGACCTAGGTTGGAAGTCCAGGAATGTTACTTTTCTGCATTCTATTTGTCAAAAGAATCATTGTTTCAAGATGAGGAAAATTAGAACCCACCTTTTGATGTCAGAAGCAACATGCATGTGTAGGAAAAAAAAGGAATCGATAATAGCTGTCTTGGGTGATTACTATAATTTTCATTGGTTTTAGAAAATTCTTAATTATTCTTTCTTCAAATGTTACTTCTGCTCCATTCCTTACTCATCTTTGGAATATTAGTTACACATATGGTAAACCTTCCATGTGTCTCCGATGTTCTTTTACTTTCTTTTCATTTGTTTTCATGTTTTTTGTTTCAGACTAAAGTTTTTTTCCATTTACCAATATTCTACTTGATTAATCTTATCTTTACCTGCTTTTCCAGTTACCTATATTCTAGTTTACTAATTCTATCTTTATCTTTGTCTGTTTAGCTATTAAACTCACCTACTGGATTCTTAAAATAGTATATTTTTCAGTTATAGGATTTAATTTCTTTTGAATAGATTCTAATTGTCTGATAATATTCCCTATCTTGTCATCTGTTCTCTTGGACATATTAATTGCCCAAATTTAAACTTTCTCTAATATCTAGCATCTGAATATTCTATAGAACTACTTATATTGTGTTTTTTTCTCTTGGTCCTGCCTTTTATAATTCCTGTAATTATTTTTAATCATATGTGGGATTTTGTATACCAAAAATAATTGAGGTCCTGGACATTAATAACTCCAAAATTTTTTATAATAGCTTTGTTCAGACAGCTAGAATAGGGAGAGTTCTCTATAATTGAAACAGAAATTTAGTTGGTTTGAGGACAGGTTTAAGTCTTTAAAAGACATCAATTTTCAGATTTCCCTTTACCCTAGGGTATAGTTTTTCAAGATGTACAGACTGAAAGAAAGGTATGTTAAACATACGGTCCTTCATTCTTGATGATATTTGAACTCTAATATTTGTCTTTCCAGTTACAATGAAACTTGCAAAAGCAATATTAACCATTCTTTTTACTTCATATTGAAAATAACAGCCAATTCATTTAGACAAGAATAAAAACAACACACACAAACACATACCCACAAAATAAAGTAAGTTAAAAAAATTTTAACCTACATTAAGTGATAAATGAAAACAGATTAAGGTCTCTAGTCTAGTTAATAGTAATGAACCAATGTCATTTTCCTGGTTTTAATAGTATACTACAGTTATAAGATTTCATCATTGGGGGATGCTGGATGAAGGTATACACATTTTATACTATTTTTACTACTACCTGTAAGTTTCAAAATAGATAATAATTTCAGAATAGAAAGTTAAAAACTTGGGATGGGTGGGTGGAAAAGTTGAGGGGATAAAGGGGCACAAAAATTCTCAATCATCATGTAGGTTGGTCATGGGGCTAGTAATAAAGCATGGAGAGTATAGTCAGTGATTCTGTAACATCTTCCTATGTTGAGATAGCAGCTGTACTAGTTGGGGAAGGGGGAGGATTTAATAATATGGGTAACTGTTGAACCAATGTATTGCACACTTGAAACTAATATAAGAGCGTATATTAATTATACTTCAATAAAGAAAATTAAAAACAAAATGAAACACACACACACCCAAATGTCACAAAAGCAGACTGACTTGCACAACTTGGAAAAATATATCCCTTATTATTGGATGATAGGCCTGATAACACCAATATATCAGTTCTCCTTAAGGTAATTGATAATTTTAATGTGATAATGAAAATACCAATAGAACTCTTAAACTATAAAACCTGATTCTAAAGTTCTTATGGAAAAATAGCAAGCAAGAGTAGCTTGGGAATCTGTAACGAAGAGGCACAACAATGGACGTTTAGCCTTATAAACTAAAATGTACCAGAAAGTCTCAATAATTTAAGCAATATAGTATTGATTTCTGCATAGACTGACAATAAGTCTAGAAATATATCTCAACTCATAGGGGAATTTAATATATAATGAAAGTGGAATCTTAAAGAAGTGCATCAAAAATGAACTTTTGAGAAAGTGGTTTGGATATAACAAGATAGACTTTGAGGAAAATGTACACCTGGAGCCCATATGACATCCCAGGAGAACTCAAGTGGAACAGATTTAAAAGTAAAAAAATTATATAATACAAATGTTAGAAAAAGCATTGTCTTATTTCATAATTATCTTAAAAAGGGGAAAGTATTTATGACTAAAAATCTAGAAGTTACATGGGAAAGACTAATAAATTTTATTCCATAAAATTAAAAATAAGAAGCAAAGTAAAAAATCAAGCAATATTGAATACATGCAACTCATACCCTATAAAAAGATCAGTCCTTCCAATTAGTAAAGCTCCTCTAAGTTAACACAATAAAAAATGAAAAAGCATCAAGGAAAACAAGATACAAATAGAAATATGAAAGGATGTTCAACCACACCTATAATAAGGGATGTAGAAATTAAACATTTAATGTGATAATATTTCTTATGTTTCTAGTTGACAGGAATAAAATTTTGATAACAGAATCTGTTTATGTGGCTATGTAGAAACAAGTACTTTCATATATATTGCTTGAAAAAGCAAAAAATGGTACAACTCCTATGAAAAGTTATCTTTAAAACCTAAAGAAATTCCAAGTGTGTTTACCCATTATGCCAGTACTTAAGCTTCTTGAAATCCTTTTTGCAGAAATCGTGTGAACAGATATATTTATAATCTACACTATATACATACACATAAATTATATATGAACTACATGTGTAATAGTGGGAAAAAGCTAAGTTGGAAGGAGCAACAAGCTGGTTGAATAAAGGATTGCAATTCTGCACAATGCAATGTAATGCAATTGAAAAAAATGAAAGGGAGACACTCTGTGTTCATATAGGAAAGGATCTTACAAATGTACTGTAACATGAAAAAAATCATGTTTTTTCATGAGGAAAATGAGGTACAGAACAGTGAATATAGTATGCTACTTCCTGTGAAGAAAGAAGGGAATGTACAGACATATGAATTTAAAGTTATTTGTATTTGCACAAAAAAACACTGAATTTTGTAATTATACTACAAATTCAACAAATCAGGGTTAATTAAAACTAACTACAATAAAAGGTAAAACCAAATACAAAAATTGTGATGTCACTATCAAGTAAGTGATAATTAAAGTCATGGAGGTAGAGTAAATGGAGTAGTAGTTTGCCATAGGCTGGTGTGCCTGTAGAAGGAAACTAGAAAAGCTGGATTTAATGATAAAAATCATATATTTAAGGGCAGAATGTGGCAGAGGACCAAAGGGATTAAAATTCCAGAGAGAGCAGAAGTTTTTAGAGGTGACTTGATGCTTTAAAGTTGTCCCTAGGGTTCTTGCCAATTTTCAATGAGGGCTAGATGCTGAGTGAAATAATCAGAATTTCACCTTCACACAGGTCAGTTTGGCTTGAAAGTGGAGAGTGAAAGAATAAGGATGGTTGTTGAGAGATGAGTTAGGAAGTTGTTTCATTTTTTTCAAGCCAAAGATAGAGGCTTGGAGTAAGCCAGTGGACTTGGAGATGAAGAAAATCAGAGAAAAAGATAAGATAAAAATTATTTTTAAAAATCACAGTATTTGATTATTAATTGTGGAAAATGAGGAAAAAGATGGTGTCAAGGATGCCTCTTTCCAGGTTTTGGGCTTGAAAGCTGCATAGATGATGGTTCCACTTCTTGTGATAAGGACCATTAATGGAGAGCAACCTTTGTGTAGATAGAGACTCAAAAATAGAACTAAAGTCTTTTAAGAAAGCCATGGACTGGAAATATACATTTAGAAGTCATAAGATAGAGCAGAAGTTGCCTTTGATATTTTGGAAGAGTGCTAACAAATAGTTGACTCCATAAAATTCTTACATCATCCTAGCATAGCCTTACTCGTTATGCAAAATACAAAAAAATTCACTTTGTTGTTAAAGCATAGTAGCTTTTCATTACGAATTTGGGAGATCTTGTAGATTTCTAATATTTATTTTTGTGCTGTTCATTTGATTTCAGAAAATTATAGGAATCAATAACCTTTTCATTTTGTTTTGTGTATCACTTACAAAGAGGGTTGTAATCAAACCGAAGATATACAACACTTCTTAATGATTATATTGTTGAATTATAGTCTGCTCTATATATGTTTCAGAGAGCAACAGTATCATTATTACATAAAAGAAAGCTACTTACGCTAAATGAAACAGTATACTCAATTATAGTTAGGCATTTGACCAACATTTCCATTTTATTCCTGAAACTTATACATAAGTTTGGTTCTAAAATGTGACACTATTTCTTTTACCTCTCTTTGATGAATCTGCTCATAATAAAAGTGTAAATTGTTTATTTAAAAATATCATTATCATTTGAGAATTGGTTCATTTATTTTATTTTCTTAGTAGCAAATATTTGAGGAAAAGTATATATTTTTACCAGTTTGACATGGGTGGAATTATCTCACTTTTTGTAGAATAGTCACAAAATGTTGTACATGTGCCACATTTGAATAAATTGAGTCATTTTGGATGAAAATTTTGGTCATACTAGAAACCAATCAGAAGACAGAGGAAAAGAGAGCCTATTGATGTAATCTGTTTAGGTCAGCCTCCCAGGGCAGAAAGCAAGGTAGAGAAATGTAGATAGTTGATTTCATAGGGGCAAAAAGAAAAAAACCTGAAACAATGGCTTTGTACCACAGAATGAAGAAAGAGAATTTTGAACGTTAGTGCTGTCTTTTTCAGCAAAGAAAAGGGAGGCTGGGGCAGAGGGTTTGGGCCATAAATGCTTCCTCCCTGTGAAGAGCAAGAAGCTTTGGAAGTGGTGGCAAGGGGGAGGATATGGACTTCTAGTTCTTTTATTCAACCACATTGAACTCTGTCAACTGGCTAAAGATGCACAGAGCAAAAAATTAACTTTGAATATAGGAAACATTCTCTATAGCTAATAATAATGCTGTTTTGATACCATTGCTATTTGCTTGCAGGATTGTATCTGACAAACAACGTGTTCTGGCCTTGGGTGTGACCTATGTGATTTTGAGAATATTTGGTATGGACTTTAAGCAATCTTTTATTACATTGAACTGTTCCTTTTCTGATATGTGTATGTGTCTACATATGTATTTAGAGTATCAAATAAATAATTGTAAAGTGACACAAAGTAAATTAATGGTGGCTCTGCTTTGCACAATTTAGGAGACAAGACAATGTAAAAAGACTATCTAATGTAAAGTCCAACCTAACTGTTATATGAAGTATGCCTCAGGATTATATCTGATTAGAAGAGGTATTTTATTTGATCAGTAGTATATTCATCAAGCTCATGCAAGTGGTTGGTAGGCTGAAACAAAACATTTATATCAGCACAGCTACTTTATTTTACATTACGTGCACGTTTGGGAATTCACTAACCTAGACTAGTCCTTTTAATCATTTCATTACCAAATACAATGATTCTGATGTTTTTAAAGATTTATATATCTAAAGAACAAATTGATTTTGCTGAGGGTAATGCACTCTGTACTTCAGGCTTCCTTAAAATAGTAAAAACTAGCTTTCATATTCACAATATGACTATGGTAGGACCCCTTATACAAGAGGTTGATTAAAAGTATTATTGAGGTAAGGAAACAAGATTTGATTGGATTGAAGACTGAAAGACATGATAAACTGAGTCAATAAAGTAGACACTTTAAGTGTAGCTCTAATGGGGAATCAGAGAAATCATTCTATAACTAGATCAATATACAGGGTTAAAATTAGCTTTTAACCACAACTATACAGTGGTCACCCTGGATATTTATATGAGCCACAGGGCACAGTTTGCTCACACATTTAGAGATTGTCCTATTATGTAAAGCAAATTCCCGGGAATCTTAATTTCAGAGGCTTACATGCCTTATTGCAGGTAGTTAGGTTCCAAAGTTGATCCCCGTTTCAATTTGTAAAGAAAAAACCAAAACCACTAACTTTTTAAATTGGGAAAAATTAAAACATGTTTTTATGGTGGACAGTGAGCCCCTAGATAAGGACAGATTCATAATGGAAGAGGGAGCTAAAGAAACAGCAAGTGCACAAACAGTTTCTGCATCAGAAAGGAAGCCAGTAAGACTGATACTCTTTTTGAATGGGAGAGGGTGGAATCAGATGATATTTTAGATATGGACTGTCCCTAGATCTTGCTGGATTTTGCCATCAAAGAATTTCAGAGAATTTTAAGCAGAAGATAGATATTATCTGATTTATATTTAAAAGAAAACTGCTGCTGGAGGGAGAAATACAGAAGATAAATGTGGAGGAAAGAAAAGGGAGGCTTTTGCTGAAGTCTAACTCAGAGTTATATAAAATTGGATTCTAGGGGTTGTAGTGGAGACAAAGAGAAATCAACATATCCAAGAAATGTGTAGAGTTAATGTTATAAAGGTTTATCATGGATTGGAAAAATATGGTGGGAAATAGAAAAAATGAGTAAATAGGCCTAGGCTTTTCACTTTGAGCAATTACAGAGTGCCAGCGTTCGCTGAGTTTGGGAGATCTGGTGACAGATAGTGGTCTTTGGCAGAAATCAAGAGTCATAAGGCATAGGGCCTTGTAATTTCTTAGCAAAGATGGATAATCATTAGACATGCTAGTTCTGAGAACCTGTTCTAATGTCTCTGGTGTGGCTTGTTAAATTTTTATTTTAATGATTGTTCATTCACTTTTAGCTGGAAGTGATCTTTCTGAGGAGGTGTCTCTCAGAGTATACAGAGATTTCCCTCAGGCAGCACACAACCGTTCCTCTGAATACAAGGTCATCTGAAGCTAAGGCTGCTGCAGGCAAACTAATGATTTTCAATGACTTTACATTTTCAATGATTTATCTCAATATCTCAGTCAATAACAGATAAACACTGAGTTGAGAAACTAATTCCTCAGTCTTTGAAAATTTCAGTTTGAAATCTTTGGAGGTACACTGAGTTCACAAAAACAATGTTTAGTTTTAAATACTTCTAAAGTAACAACATGCATGGCATTCTAAAAAGATGCAAATCTATTTTTTAATGCCAATAGGGTTAAGGATTTTTTGGACATACACTCATTGTTTCCAATTTTAATAATCCTATTTATAGGTAAATTCTTAGATAATTTTAAATGGTATATTTACAGTGATGATGACCACATATATGTTTAATTTTAGGATAAAAATCATTCTGATCCCACTTACAGTGTTTTCATGGAGACTTCATACTCATTGCATTTTTCATAGGGACTATTCCTGGACCAGTAATCTTTAAAATGATCGGAGAAAGTTCTTGTACTTTTCGGGATATTGAGCGCTGTGGGAAGAAAGGAAGTTGTTGGTTCTATAACAAGACAAAAATGGCCCGCCTTTTGATAGGATTATGTAAGTGGCATCTATCGAAGAAATGTAGAGAAGTAAAGTTGTTTTAAAAACTGATGGTTGTTTCCAGTAAGGTATAGTAATAATAAACTATGAACAAATGGATATATTGGTAATTAAAGAAGCCTTATATATTTATGTAGAAGATATTTTAGGAGCTTAGTACTATAAAATTAATATGAATATTTGAAGCACTGATCTAAACATATAAATGTTTTATGTTGTTCCTGAATAAAGGGTGATAATTAGCAGAATTTCAATTTGGGACGAATTTTGCCCATATACATACACAACCAAGTTGCTTATTTTGTGACCCTTTCCATCTCCATGAAAAAAAATCTTTTACAAACAGGCATCAGGTGACTCTTACCCACTTCAATGTAAATCTCACATTGTCTCTTGCTCAGCGCTCTAACTGCTTGGCGCATGGGAGGGATAGGGAATCGGGATGCTGCGGTTGTAGGGGTAGGTTAAAGTGTTGGGAAAGTCTAGATATGCTTGTATTTCTTTGAAAATTCACCAACTCTCCCCAGATATCAATTTATTGTTAACATTCAGTGATTTTTTTACTGTATAGATCTTATTAGTGTGATAAATATTTTAAAGTGTTTATATGTTTAGTGATTTTTACTGAGTGGGTTCATTAATTCAAAGAACCACATAATAATAGACTCTAATATTTAACAGGGACAAATACCTGTTTAGATTTATTTAGGATCATGTTACTGGAAGCAGTGGGAAGACGGGGACTACTACCTGCTGGGGGCACACAAACAGGAACCTCCCTGCCCCACCTTCCCCTCACCCCCTCAAAGGAGGGGGGAGGCTTGCTTTTTCTTAAAAATATAAATGTATTTATCTGTGCCATCACATCCCTGGGGCACCCAGCTGGCCTGCCCATGGGCCACAGGGCAGGGAGGGAAGAGGGCGTCAGGGTGCAAGTGTGAGCATTGCAGAGGAGTGCCCCGTCAGTGGGGTGCCGTGCCTGGTAGAGGGATGGCTCCTGGTGCATGGCCACCACTGTCTGCAGTAGCGGGCGTTCTCCTCCAGGAAGGCCACCCAAGATGATGTCTGGTTCTCCTTGAGCCTCCAGGCATCCTGGGACCCTTGACTGCCTTGTTATTCTTTACTGCCCACTGCAATACTTCCCATCCTTCTGCTACTCTGGAACCTGGATCTTCTGTGCCTTCTTCATGCTGGGCTGGGGCTTAAGTTCCTCTGAGAAGCCATGTGTCTGTGGATCAGAGGTCTCATGGGCAGGAATGCTGGACAGGGCTAAACTAGTTGGCACTCAATAAATTTTAAGTAACAAAATTGATAATCATATAACCAAGGCATATTTTCCTCCCAAACCTGAGACAGATGTGACTATATAATGATGAGACTCTGGTAATAGAAGCCACACACGAAAATTTGTCTCATTTCTTTATAGTCATGCCATGTGTGTTTTCTTTAACCATAAAATGACAAGAGAAATGATTTTTTTAATGAGAAAAATAATTCAAAAGTCAGTCATCCAGCAAGCTTAGTCAACATCAGATACTGAGTAAATTTTAAAAAACTTTTAATTAAAAATTGAAAAATGACATTTAAGAAGTAAAAATTAATTTCTCAGAAATAATTCAACAAAACTTAGCACTGTTCTTAAGGGAATCTTCTTTGAACACAGCCAAGCCTTTTAATTTGTATCTTAACTATAAGTGTAACATGCTTAACTGTTTTCAGACACAGCACGGAATTGATAGAGTTGGTGACTGACTAGAGATCCTGCTAGGGAGCTACTAAAGGAGATAATAATAAAGAGCAGAGGGAATTACAGTTAGGAAGGGCAAACACAGCAAACTGCAATAGGAGTATGCATTTGTGGCAATGTTGTGTAGACTAGTACTTTTTAAAGTGTATTCCATGAGTCATTTGAATCAGAATCACTTGGAATCCTTGCTAAAAATATAAGTTCTGAGACTCTAAATTAGAATACCAGGGATTAGTGATGAGTATATGTATTTTTAATAAAGCATCCCAGATGATTTTAACCACAGTAAACTTTGAAGACAGGTATGAGAGAGCTGTATTGTCCAATATGGTTGGCATTACCTATTTAAATTTAAATTAATGCAATTAAAAATTCACTTAGTAATGACAGCAAAATTTCACAATTGTCATGTGTGACAATTGGACAATACATGTGTAGAACCCTGCCATTCTCACAGGAAGTTCTATATACATCACTACTCTACAGCAAGGCTTACACTCAACAGGGAACCATGAACCCTAGGAACCCACAAAGAAACATCTTTGAAATCCTAAAATTCTGATTGTACATTTGTATGACCAATTTTTTTCCTATGTGGAGGAGGGCTGCAGTATTCATCAGATTTCCAAAGGTTTTATCACTCGAAAAAGTTAGTAAAAAATGATTTATTATCAATCCATCAGTTCCCTTTGGAAGCAAGGAAATTCTTTTGATGTTTCTTTCTCAAATCTTAAGTTTTCATTGGGATGACTAATGAAGTGCCCTTTACCTCAAATGAAGGATACTATTAGATCTAGTTTATTTTCAATAAAGAGATAACTTATAAGCCCTTTTCAAACATTTCCTATTTTAATTTGCCATGTTTACCACTTAATCCAGTTTGGATTTTTGGGGGGTAGAATTTTTATTGAAATATTATGTGTGTATATATATATTTAGTGTATAACATAGGTAATATATATTTAGTATAGAAATATTCAGTAAAGGGGACATATTATAAACACAGTTTTATAAAATCAACACATTTTTATAAAGTGAACACACCTGTAATTAGCATCCATATCAATATATTAGATTCAATAAGTGAATTTAGTAAGGTTGCTTAATATATAATCAATATACAAAAATCAATTGAGTTTCTATATATCAGGCACAACCACACAAAAATAATATAATTACAATAACAAAAAAGTCAAGTACCAAGTTTAATCTATTGAAAGTTGTACAGAACAACTGCAAATTTGAGAGAAATCAAAACCTAAATAAATGAAAAAAATGTATCATGTTTAGAGGTAGGAAGATTTTTAAATGCCACTTCTCCTAAATTAATCTATAACATCAATGTAATCACAAACTAAATCCCAGGGGGTATTTTTTTTAATTGTAAAGGGAATTAAAATTCATATGGAAAGCCAAAAGGCCAAGACTTATTAAGAGAATCTTGAAGAAGAAACAAAATTGAGGAATACATGCTACCTGCTATCAAAACCTATTATCAAGCTATTAAAAAAAAATACAGTAGGGTGTTGTGAAAGCATTGTCACAATGACCAATGGAACAGAATAGAGAATATATGTGCACACTCAACTGATTTACAGCAAGGAAAGAGAAACTGCAATGGTAAAAAAGATGATCTTTTAAATAAGGGGCAATGGGTCATTTTATATATGCATATCTAGAAAAAGTATCTTGATCTTTACCTCACATCAACTCTAGGTGCATTGAAGATTAATGTGAAAGATAAAGCAATAAAGCCTTTTGAGGAAAACAGGAGACTATCTCAGTTTCATGACCTTGGAGTAGGAAGAGATTGAATAAGTAGGACACAAAACACACTAACTAGAAAAGAAAAACCAAACTATATGAAAGTTAATGAATTCTGGTGATCAAAATAAATTACTGATATAAAAGATAGCCATAGTGTAGAAGACATGAAAAAGGTAAAAGGGTGAGGAGGAACTAATGCCCAAAATATATAAAGAATTTCCACAAATCAACAATAAACAAAGGATAGATAACAGTAGAAAAGTGGACAAAAGACTTGAAAGAACTTTTCACAAAGGTGAATAATCAAATAGCCAATAAACAATGGAATGGATAAGTTGATCAAATCAACTGTGAAATACTATACAACAGTGAAAATGAAAGGTGCACAATTACATGAAGTATGAATAACTGAGGAAACATGAGGACTTCTGGGGTGTTGATGTTTTTTTGTTCCTGATTCAGATGCTGGCCACACTTGTGTTTAGTTCGTGAAAATGTGCCAAGCAGTACTTTTTTAAAAAATTGAGATGTAATTGATACAGTTCTTAGATGTTTAGTGTGATGGCTTTTGATAATTGAGTGCAACTGTGGAAACAGCACCCAAAATAAACTATAGAAATTTTCCCTATGACTCTTTTCAGTTAATTTCCCTTCTACATAGCTAAATCGCTTTCAGATTTATATTACAATATGTTAGTTTTTCCTTCATAAAAATATGAAGTTTATCCAAATAGAATACAGTACATACTGGGGTTTTTCTTCATTGTTTGTTTTGTTGTATTGTTTTTTGTGTTGTGTGTTTTGCTTAATGTTATGGTCTGGGGAGATTCATCCATGTTATTCTATAGCAGTAGTTTGTGGGCTTTTTAAAAATTTCAGAGTACTGTTTCATTTTGTGAATATATTACAGTTTGTCAATTATCCTGTTAATGTACATAAGTAAAATAACACACCTTATATTGTTCTTGTGCTTTATGTTTAAGAAATCTAAGAGTTTTTATAAACATTTAAAAACTTAAGTAACTTGATATGTTTATGATGTTAAATGCATTCTACAATTGGGAAACTGATACCTTTAGAGATAAAATATACTTACTTTTTCTTTGGTAAATGGCATTCTTTCCACAAACATTTTTGCTCTAAATAAATTGGAATATAAAACAGAAAAATAGCATGAACAAAACAGCAGTAGACTCACAGACACTAAGAAGTGACTAGTGGTATCCATCAGGGAGGGGTTGAGTGGGTGGGAAGGGTGAGGGGGATGAAGGGGCACAAAAATTCTCAATCATAATATAAGTTGGTCACAGGGATAGTAGTACAGCATGGAGAATATAGCCAGTGATGCTGTAACATCTTCCTATGTTGACAGGTAGTAACCACACTAGTCAGGGTAAGGATTTAATATGGGTAACTGCTAAACCACTGTGTTCATACTTGAAACCAATATAAGATTGATATCAATGATACTTCAATAACAAAAATTGACACATCTGATTGTTGTATTTTTCTTTAATTCAGGTTTTTCTTGCAAAATATTCACTGTGTTTTTCACTGCTATAGCATTTGGAATATACAAATTCTTATTAAAGGAAAACAGTGACATCCCACCTATACCAGTGAAGAATCTAAAAGTGAAAAAAAAGGAAAGAGCTAAAGGACAACTGGATCATCACGGTGTAAGAATTCCTAGTGTCAATCTATTAGTCGAATATTATGTTAACAAAATTTCAAGTAATTGTAATATGGTTATATTTTTAATAAGCAAATGTGATTCATTTAACCCTATAGGTTGTATTATATTTGATTATAAGATTAATAATAGAGTGTTTGTGTTTTGAAGTTTCAAAAGATACACATTTAATACTTTCAATAGAAACAATACTTTGAAAGTAAAGGATGAAGTAGAAGTAGGAAAGTACATATAAATTACTTCTGACTGCAATACCTTATATATTAATTGTTGGCTTTTGATTATGTAGGATTGTTTAGGTTTCATATAGTTTATTCTCATTACTTTCATTTGGGCTATTGATGTTTATTTCTCAATAATTAAAAAAAATAAAATCATATCTGTCAAAAATTTAAACTAAGGTCATATTTATTCCTCAAAAGACAATTTAAAACCCCTTAAATATTAAAATTTTACTTACTTTTACTTGATATGGAGAGATTTCCTCAGAAACTATCTCTGGTCAGTTGGCCCATTTGCAAATATATTTTCATGCTTCTTTAATTTTAGTAGGTATAAAATTCATTATAATCATATGTTTCTCTGTTTTTACCTTACCTTGAATTTTATTGATAAAAATGTACTGAAACTTGAATTGATAACCATTTTTGTGCTTTTATGTTTTATTTTATGACTAACAACAATTATTTCATGTGAAGAAATGTTGAAATTTGAATGTAGAAAACATGTCAACCATTCGGGGAATTTTCTTCAGTTTAATTGTGTTTCTATAGAAAGTTTTTGTTATAATTATGTAATACTTCATTGAACACCCATCCAAATTATATAGCAATTTTCCAAATATTGGAATCAAAATCAGATTATTATAAAACAAAACCTTCTCTACAATGTTTCTTTCGTTCTTGGAAGAAGGACAACTGCCAAAATTTCTCATTTGTCATTAACATTAGTCAGTGACCCCGTATGTGAGGGCAGACCATTAACCTGTGCATGGGCATGGCTGGCGGAAGGAAAGGTGAAGCAGAGAGTATTCTCTTGTCAGTATATATTTCTCTTCCTTAACTTCAACCTGCACTTATGAAAATCTATAAACTAATCTTTATGTGAAACTCTGACTGCTTGGCTCTTCTCTGTTTGAACCAGCAGGATTGCAGAACATCTGAGGACCAGAGTGTGAAATAGGAATTTCAACTTTAAAGATTCTACTGTATCTGTTGCTGTGCCCTACATTCAGAAAAGGAAAATCACATGTGATGTTTAACTAAGTAGTAGAAATGTATGTATGGTGGTCTGCATTTTCATAATAAAGTACCTTCTTGTGAGACATTTCTCATGTTTTTAATGTATATAGGATTTTTAAACAGTGTACAGTAAGTTTTTCTAGTAGAATTGAAGTTTAATAATTTTAGGTTACTTATGTCCTTTCTTATTATTTTACTGTTTAAAAATATTATTTGGAAATTTATATAACCAGGAAATAAGTAAAACAGTAACATTCAGATAAATTTCAAAGTGCTTATAATGTGTGTGCATACATTAAATACATATTATGTATGTATGTATTTGTTTTTGCAGAAAAAAGCCAGCAAAGGTATAATAAAATTTTTATTAATTTAGGGAGCAATGCTAAGACTTGAAATTTGAATAACTTTCTGCTAAAATGGAAACAAGTGTGTTTCTGTGTCACAAACTAGTTGACAGAGGATTGGTAAATGGAGACATGAAATAAGTATAACCAGCCTCAGTTACATTGGTTAGCAGCAATTTAGCAGCTTTTTAAACAGTTAGGGGAAGCTTTCTCACTGTTAAAGAAAAGATGTTAGCAATACATTAACTCTTAAGAAAAAAATAGTTTAAAATCCTGTAGAAGAGCCCTTCTTTGGAATCAGTTTTCAATATCACTATCAAGAATCATTAGGTTTTCAACAATGGTAATATATCTAGTGAAGCTGCAAGTTCAGATGAGGAAGCTGCAATGGTATTTCTAAGCATAAGATTTTAAATTTTTGATGAAACAAATATCTATTGAGAATTCATGCCTTCCAGGAGCCACACCTCATTGAAGGGAGGTGATCCCCACATTTAAATCTACAAAGGACTGATTAACTTTGGTGATGGGTGAGTGGTTTGCCTCTGCACTGTTTTCTCCATAAGCCTAGTTATTTCTAGTGCTTGATTTTGCCTTAAGGGACATTTTAAAGGGATGCGTCTGGTATGCTTTTGCTAAGAGACAGTATTATTCTCCTGCTGGGAGCTCTCTCAAGGTATTAATAAAATGTTGGATTTCCCTCGTTGCATAACACACTTATTCATCCCTTTAACCTCAGCTATAATTTCTCCTTCTCTCCATTGGTCATTTATCTTTACCCAAACTTCTCCCCCTGTGGAAGGGGCATTAGGTTTGGCTACTGTGCTGGTCCAGATTGTTAGCAGTAGTACCAGTCTAGCAAGGGCCTTCCCTTCCGTCTATTCCCACACATGTAAGGTGGGGTCACACCCCAGGTGCAGGACTAACAGGTTGTCCTGATCAATAGGCAGCACAGCGCTGTCATCCCAAACTTGGCCAGATGGGTGAAGGCATGATCCACCCCAGGAGGCCCTTAGGATTTCTGACATGAGGATTTAAGGGTAAGGTTAGAGTTTCTTGCTGAGTGATCTTCCCTGCTTCTAGCACCCGCAGATGCAGCCCTGGTCCTGGAATCACTAGATCAGGTAAGAAAAAATAGAGTGGAGATGTGGGGGAAACTACCTATAAAACTAAGTATAGTTGCACTAGCATCCCCCCCCCACCCCTCTTTCCCAGATTCCCCAGGAAAGTGGAGGAACCTACCCATTGGGGACCCTCCCTTAGCCCCCCTCATGTTGAGTGTGAGCACACACTCTTGAAGACATGTAGGCCAACCCTTCATGCCTTTATCTTCCCCCATTTCAGACAGCAAATATTTCAACTGCCCATTTCAATTTTCTATTAAACCATTGCTCTGACAGTGATGTGTCCACTGCTGTGATGTCTCTTGGCCCACTGTTGGACACTGTGGGCTGAAAAGTGTGTCCCTTGGTCTGAAGATATGTAACTTCGTGTCAAAATGGTATAGTATCTTCTGTTATAATCCTTGAATAGTATTTTGGGCACTTGCATCTACCACCACCTAGGCAAACCCCAATCCATAGTGTCTATTCCAGTTAGGACCCACTTATAGCCCCCAGGGGCTACTGGCCTTGGTCCAATGTAATCCACTTGCCAGCTATGTGTGGGGCCTTCCCCCTGGGAATTTTTCCCATAGCCACCTGCGGCCTTTGTCTCTCTTGCTGACAGATGGAACAGCTCTTGTCGGCATTCTGTGCTTCACAGGGGCCAAAAGAATCTAGACTCAGCCCATCTCTGCACCGCTGCAGCTCCTCCATGTCCACTAATTTCATGGACCCAGGCGGCCGCCTCAGGAACACACCAACTGGCCCACTTGGTGGTTCCAGTCACCCTCCAATCCTGAAAGAGGGTTCTTGTGATGGGCATTGACATGTCCTACTTTAATGCACCCCTGAAATTCCCAGAGCGACTTCAGTAGGGCTGTGCCCCACATGGGCACCCCTTTAATGGTCCAGTTTTCCATAGAAAGCTACCTGACCATACAGCCAGGCCATTGGCTATAGCCCAGGAGTCAGTAAAAATCCAAACAGGGGCTTTTATCATTGTTCATTCTTCTATCATTGCCAGTAAAACAGCATGGAGTTCAGCCTACTGAACTGATTTGTTCTTACCTTCCTTCACCAGAGTCTTGCCATCTGCTGGTCTTAATGCAGCAGCAGGTTTGTAAACAGGACATTGTCCATTCATCTTGGAACTGCCATCTGTGAACCAAGCAGCTCCTTGCTGCTCAGCCGAGACGTGTTCCTCGGGCACAGCCCATGTATGCAGTGGCTTCTCAAGGCTCATCGGGGGACTACAGCCTTGGTCCTGGAGGAAAAGAGGCTAACCTGCTCGTGGATACAGGTGGGCCTCCTTGTATTCCCCCAGCAGTCTGCTTCTGTACGAACAATTTGCATTTCATTATGGAACTCTTCTGGGCACACTCTTCCTTATTAAGAGTGTTTCTCTGATATCACCCATGACATTATGGTTATCTCAGCTTTCAAGATTATTTTATGTCCTTTAGTCATTGAGGCAGTCTCAGTTAATGCCCAGTAGCATGCTACTAGTTGTCTCTCAAAATGGTGTGTACCAGGCAGCAGCATCTGGGAATTTTCTAGTCCAAAATCCCAACGGTCTCTGCTGGGAGAAGGCATTCATGGGCTTTTGCCACTAGCTCCAGTCTGCATGAGTGGCCAAAATCATCTGAGTGGGGATCATAAGGGCCCAAAGGCATCAAGAGCATGACTGCCTTTTGTAATTCAGACATGGCTTGCTTTTGTTCAGGTCCCCACTCAAATACAGCTTTCTTTCATGTAGTCCTATAGATGGGAGCTAGCACTATTCGCAGGTGTGGAAAATGTGTCCTCCAGAATCAAAGTAAACCAATGAAACGTTGGGCTTGTTTGGTTCTAGGGACAGGTAGTGAGTTTATTTTTAGTCACTTGTGGAATATTCTGGGTGGCTCCTGCCCATACTATTCTTAAGAATTTGACAGTTTGAGCATGTTCTTGGATCTTTGCTGAATTTATTAACCAGCCTGGTTGGTCAGGTGTATCACTGATACTGTCATGTCATCAATATAGTGTATTAGTACACTCGAGATTTGCATCAGGTACAAATCCCTCCTGACCAAGTTGTGACAATAGCTGGTGAGTTCAGATAACCCTGTGGCAGCATAGTAAATGTAAACTGGGGTCCTCCCCATGTGAAGGCAAACTGGGGTTGGCACTTTTCAGAGATGGAGATGGAGAAGAAAGCATTTCCAAAGTCCATCACTGAGTGCCAGCCTCCTGCAGCCTGCTGCACTTTCTGTGTGGTGGAGAGCATGGCTGGAACTGCTGAGGCTATGGACACTACAACTTTATTTAAGCCTCAATAGTCTGTTAGTCTCCATGAGCCATCTGCCTTTCTCACAGGCCACACGGGACTGTTGTACAGTGAATTAATGGGCGCCAGCACTCCAGCTCCTAGCATGTCACTAATTAAAGTGGTGATCTCCTTTTGTCCACCAAGTATTCTGCATTGCTTCAAGTTAACCACCTGTATGGGCTCAGGCAGTTCTAACGGTTATCATTTAGCATGTCCAGTTAAACTGGCCTGAGGGTTCAGGGTCCCAGGAAAGTTTCTCCTCCTCCCCCTCACTCTTTTACCCATATGCATGCAAATGGCCTCAGGTCCCCAGATGGGGGTGTGGCCAGAAGACCCAGGCCCTTCTGTCAGTTTTTAACTTGATTAACTTGCTGGACAACCGCCCCAGGGGGTTCCTGGTCAGGCTTCTCTTTGTAATCTTGGCCTTCAGGTTTTTAAAATTCTTCCCATCTGGGGTGAGTAGAGTGGACTTGTTTGGGTCTCTGTAATGTTGGGGAAACCACAGGGGGTTCCATTGGTCCATCCAATCTCTGGTAGTGCTGCATTAACTCCTTTGTTTCAACCCCATCCATGTCTGCTTTATTCATCCCATTTTTCACTAATCAGCTGAAGATTCCCACTCTGTTGTGTCAAGTCTTTGGCTCTCCCCTTTGTCCCTCCCTATTTCCTGAATTCCTTTATGTTCTTGGTATCAGTAAGTTGTGCACAAAGAAGCTGAAATAACGAATCTGATAAGGCTTCTCAAGTTGTTGTTTGATTTTGTAGCAGTAAAGCTACATAGGGTGCCCACATAACAGGGCCCCCTTAATCATAGCATTGACCAAAACCCATGTAATGGGAATATTCAGTGGGTGAGTATCTTGGTCATCATAAAGCTGTCCCACATGAGCTGCTTCATCTATAATCTTCCATTTGACACTTATATGGGAAATTGGACAATGTCCCTTCTCAGGATAAACAGACCTCACAGTGGCTCCAGTCCACCAGGCTGACTGTTCCTCTGTAATAACTCCCATGTGTCTGGGTCACTACAGCCATCTGTGATTGTTCAGTGGTGAGCTGTGGGTCCTGCATCAGCCTAAATATGCCCTTCCACTCTGAAGCATTCAAAACCAGAGACAGCCCCCAGACTGGTTACTCTCACAGTCCACTTTAGTAAAGGGTCTTTAGGAAGCTGGTGATAAAATCCACAAAATGAGCCAGTTCCTTTATGCTATATCTCCCAGTTTCAGTCACTTCCTGCTTTTTGCCTCCCCCTATATTATCTTGGTGGCCAGAGGTCTTAGTCATACTTGTGCTGATCTGATACAATTTCTGT